AAAAAAAAAAAGAAAAGAAAGCAGGGTCACAAGAGGGGTGAAGGAAACAGTGAACATCCTGGTTAGTGGCAGCAGACTGGACTTCTTGTTGGAGCTGAGCATGGGTTGCTGTGAGGGCTGATACTCATGAGCCAATAGAACTGCCCCCACCTGCCCTCCGCCAAAGTTCATGTGGACCATAAAATGCACAGTGGGGATGTCTGTGTCATCTTCTTCCAACACTGCTGAAGTCCTCTATTATTTTTCTTAATTAATTAATTTATGTTTAAGATTATTTATTTTAAAGACGTGGGGTACAATTCAGGATTAGGTATACAAATGTCATTATGCAGGTACCCTTGTTGATGAGATGTGCCCCCCACTTCTGGTAGTTTTCCACTACTGCCAAACCCTTTCTTATAGTATTATGATGATTGTTCAAGATCCATTTATGAGTGAGGATGTGTGGTACTCAGTTCTTTGTTTCTGTGATAGATCATTCAGTATTATAGACTCTAAGCCCATCCAAGTTGCTGTGAATGAAGCCCTCTATTAACAGAAGTTCTAGGGAAGAGGGGTGGGAAAGAGTGGCTAGAGAGAGTAGAGACAGTGAACTGGACGTGTTGAAGATGAAAGCGTTATGAATAAGAAGCTGGCTTTTACAACCGACACACAGTATTCATACTCAGAGGCAACAGGCCTCATTAGCCAGGTCTTCTCCTTTTTTGAAGTCTCTAAATACTGGAAAGAGGATCCACATTCTCTCCCTAGGAAAGAGGTGATTTGTTTATCTATGAATCCATCTTTTATAGAGTCACTGCCAGTTGATTTTTTTCTAATATAGCATCATCTCCTTGGCATGACTCTCTTTATACACATTAAGAGGAAATTTGTCTCCAAACCCCTTTCTTATGAAAAACTGCACTGAATATAAATGCTCACTCAAGAACCAGAACCAACACTTGCAGTAAAAAAATTAATATAACTGTGCTAGTTGTATCACAATTACAGAATTTTTTTTAAAATTATTTTTAATTTCTGTACACTTAAAAAAAAAAAAGAACCAGAACCCTGGACTCACATGACTCCTTGGCCAGTGCTTCTTTCTACTCCAATTTTTTGTCTTCATCACTTACCAAATGTTCTTTTCTGGGAACGTGTATACCCTTGGAAAGATGAGAGTGGTTTATGGTAATTCCAGGCTGGATGTTTGGTTTGGGAGAATGCCATCAGTCACAAAAATCTTAGCTTCTGGCAGCAGAAACCTGGACTTTGTCCCCGTTTCATTTTGCCATGCTTATCTCTACCAGCTTACCTTTCCAGTAGAGGTTGTGACACTGAATTCCCATCAAGGATCCTGAAAGTCAGCCACTGGATTGGAGGCAGCATGGCAGAGAAAGTAGGAGCTGGCCAGGCATGATGGCTCAGCCTGTAATTCCAACACTTTGGGAAGCTGAGGTGAGGAGATTGCAACTTGGTGAGGTCCACGCAACTTGGTGAGACCTCATCTCTACAATAAATCACAAAAACTAGCCGGGCATGGTGACGTGCATCTGTAGTTCCGGCTACTTGGAAGGCTGAGATGGAAGGACTGCCTAAGCCCAGCAGGTCAAGGCTGTGGTGGCCATGAGCGTGCCACTGCACTCCAACCTGGGCAACAAGAGTGAGACTCCAACTCAAAAAAAAAAGAGTAAGAGCCAAACCCTGAACTCAGACAAACCTAGAGTGACATTGACTCTGCCGATGGTGATATTGTGACTGAGCACTCAATGACCTGGAGAGGATAGATCATGTCTAAAGGGAAAGACTGAGATAAAATATGGTCCCATTTTTGTTCAGTCATGTTCCGTCAAAGTTTTACATCAAGTGATATCCACGTTTCTAGGTAGTGGAAAGTGATTGTGTTATTTTGGGTATTCTGCATTTGTTACAATGAAATGTGCATTCATTTATTCACTCAAAACTACTCATTGAGCACCTTCTTTGCAGCAGCTATTACAATAGATTTGGGGCATACAATGAGGGAATATAGGGAATAATCCGTTCTATGCCATGCCTTCATGAAAAAGAGACTTGAAATTGTCATGCAAAAGAATTATACAAATTGGGTGTAGCTGCTCATGCCTGTAATCTCAGCACTTTGGGAGGCCAAGGTGGGAGGATTGTTTTAGCCAGGAGTTCAAGACTGCATTGAGCTATGATTGCTGACTGTACTCTAGCTTGGATGGCAGAATGAGATCCTGTCTTCAAAGTATAAATAAAAGAAATGGTTCTGCTGTCACAGGCCTCCTGCCACTGCAGCAGTGGGACATCAATTACTACTATGGGAGCACAGGAGAAAAGACTTCCCTCCTATTTCTTTTCCTTAGCAAGCTAATCGCCAGGAATGTCAAAGGACCAGCAATTGAATTCACAATGGACTCCCAATTCTGCTTGGTGAGTGTCCCTTTTTACAAAGTCCATACTGTCTCATGAAGAGAGAAACTCTTCCTCATAGCTGAGATTTTCCTGATTGCATTCTCTAAGTACCAGGAAACCCTGAATTCCAACCCGGCTGTGCTTAGTCTTGTGTCTCCTCTTTCCCCAGAGGCTGTTGGCTGAGGCTCAGGCCTCTCTGAAGCCTGCTGGCCCCCATCTGATGAATGAATCAGGGTGAAAAGACTCTCAGGGGGAACATGGTGGGATTTAGTGGCCAGCCTGCTGTCAGCAACAGCAAGGGCCACCCTCAGAGTCTGGGGCTGGCAAACAACAAAAGAACTCTGCATTCTGTTTAAACATATTTTACGATATTTCTTTTCAAGCACAGCCAAAAGGAACAATGAAATAAAGGTATCTCAAAACCCAAAATCTCCTATGGAATTGTATAATACTGGAAAAACTGAGAATTCAGCCAGACACAGTGGATCATACCTGTTGTAATCCCAGCACTTTGGGAGGTGGAGGCGAGAGGATTGCTTGAGCCCAGAAGTTTGAGATCAGACTGGGTAACATAGCAAGACCTTGTCTCTACAAAAATAATTTTAAAAAATTAACTGGGAGTAGTGGTGTATCCCAGCTATTTGGGAGGCTGAGGCAGAAGGATCGCCTGTCCAGAAGGTAAAGGTAGGAGTAGCCATGATTGTGCCACTGCCCTCCAGCCTGGGTGACAGAGTGAGACCCTGACTCAAAAAAGCAAAACGAAACAAAACAAAAACAAACAACAACAATAAGAAACTAAGACTTCAGCCGGGCTCAGTGGCTCAGCCTGTAATCCCAGCACTTTGGGAGACCGAGGCATGTGGATTGTCTGAGCCCGCGGGTTCAAGACCAACCCGGGCAACTTGGCGAGACCTCGTCTCTACAATAAATAAATTTTTTAAATTAGCTGGGCATGGTAGCATGTGCCTGTAGTTCCAGCTACTTGGAAGGCTGAGGCGGAAGGATCGCCTGCACCCAGCAGGTTGAGGCTGCAGTGGCCAGGAGCTGCAGTGGCCAGTGCACTCCAGCCTGGGCAACAGAGTGAGACTCAAAAAAAAAAAAAAAACCCCAAAAAACAAAAACAAACAAACAAAAAAAAACACCGAAAATACTAAGACCTCATGTAGGGAGGGAAATTATTTTTTTTAGTAGAAAAGAGATTTTGTTATGTTGCCCAGGTTGGTCTCCAAACTCCTGGTATCAAGTGATCCTTCCACTTTGGCCTCCCAAAGTGGTGGAATTACAGGTGTGAGCCACCACACCCAGCCCTGGGAGGAGATGATTTTAAAATCTCAATAATTTTTAAGTTTTATTTAAGTTTCACATGATTAAGTATATCTTGCCATCATTATTATCATTAAACTTCTGTATCAATTAGGCTGTTCAAATATCTCAATCTTTTAAACATGTTTAGCCATTGAAAAAATAGAAAAGATTCTCAATTTAGATGGACAA